GTCGGGTCCTGAGTTTTGTGACTCTAATAATTGCTGCTTCTACGACTGCCTCGCTTATGGAAAATGGTGGTGGAAAAACCATCAGGGAAACAGGAAGGGAGACAGTATTATCTGTCAGTTATAGTGTCAGCTCTAACTACATTACTGATAAAAAGAGGTACACATGTCTACCTCCCCAGTTTTTTCTGTGCATACCTTTAAAAAGTATATGTTGGTTATGTTTTTAAAAAACTAATACTACTTAAGTATTCTAGGGGAACTTTTTTTTTTTTACAGCCCTGTGGTAAATTATGGACTTCATGAAGTGTTTTTTTTTTTAAGCAAATTATTATTTTTTTTTAAAGATTTTATTTATTTGTCAGAGAGAGAGGGAGAGAGAGCGAGCACAGGCAGACAGAAAGGCAGGCAGAGGCAGAGGGAGAAGCAGGCTCCCCGCCGAGCAAGGAGCCCAATGTGGGACTGGATCCCAGGACACTAGGATCATGACCTGAGCTGAAGGCAGCTGCTTAACCAACTGAGCCACCCAGGTGTCCCATGAAGTGTTTTTTTAATATAATTCTGAATAATCAACTCCGAATTTACATCTTTTCTAAGGGATACAACATTCCGTGTAGAATGTTCTTTAAGCTCAGTAACAGACACAAACAGTTCTTAGCAATGAGAAGATTATTACAGAGAATTCACATGGAAAAATCAAGTCTTCCTTTCCATTATTTTGGAAATGACATTGGGAAGGGACGGACTGACATAAAACCTCAAGGCTGTGACTGTATCTGGAGAGGCCACGTTGGCGAGGTGTCCTGGTCAGAAAACTGCCTGGTTTTGCTCACTGAGCAGCTTGGAAATGCTCTGAGTTCAAAAGGGTTAAGAAGAGAAGTGACCATGGTCATTTTCCCTCCTGACATATTATAAAACAAATAGGCTGGAGTGATTTGCGAACTTTGTTTTCTTTTGGGACAACACAATGAGCTGCCATCTTGGGTGCCCCCTTGGGGTGGGGTGGGAGCAGGCATGGGGTCCTGGCCTTGGGGGTAGGATGTGGAGCGGCGCTGTTCTTCTGGGGGCACCATCCCAAGGGACACCTGAGGATGCAGCGTTGGCTGGGATTCGGGTAAATTGGAGGCCGTCCTAGAAGAACATCCATCACGCTTAGTAAGATCTTGGGTTGTAACGGCTGCCTTGAGCCTCCAGACATTTTTTATAAAGCTCTCCGTCATGAAGCCCTCTTTCCGCCTCTGCTGCCATATGTTTTTCCAGCTGGACCTCCACCAGTCTTCCGCTTTCCAGAAAGTTCTCATTCATTCAGCCCAAGGGTACCTCGTTGGCTTTTCTCAGGGCTGCTGGAAGTTTCAGCGGGAGTCCTGGCCACGTGGAGAATTGAGCTCCCTGGGCGCGTAGAGGAAGGTCTCAGACTGGGAGTCTGTGCCTTCAGATGCTTTGCTTTTCTGACTCAGTTTAAATGTGGAGAAATGTAAATATACATATTTAAATATGCAAAGCTGCATCAGAAAAAAAAAATCTTATTAGCATGCATTTTCTGTGATTCAGGCTTGCTCACCAAATCCTGCAGTAGGGAAATTTAAGAAGGGGTTTTTGTCCACAGACTGGGATCCCCCCACTTAACTCTGATGAGAGCCAGTGGCCTCCAAACCTTGTTTTCCATTGTTCATTTTCTATTCACCTGGGGCACTGGGGATGTTTTAGCTTTTCCAGATGCTGGTTTTCAGATTAGCTGACACAATGGTGGGAGTCACAACTCTTTAACACACTTTGGAGTTCTTACTTGTGGGACAAGGCTCACCCTTCCAAATTCCAAGCAAATAGTTTGCTCTTCGTGATTCAGACTTGGTTGCTGTCCTGTTGCTCATTTTTCCTTCTCGTGAATTTAGAATTCAGTGCTTCAGCCCCCAAAGCCTAACTGAACAGGAAACTGTGCACACATTCTCCGTGGCAAATCCTCCTTGGAAAACCCTCATAAGGAAGTGGGCTGTCCATGTAAAGATCTTACTTTATTGATGTGTTTGTATTTGATTTATAATCAAAATTGAGTCCACTTCCAGATTTTAATTGTGCCCCCATTGCATACTGGTAAGTGCTGGGCTACACTTTGCCCTCTGCTCCCTGCCCCCCACCCTCCTGGTTTCAGGCTACTCCCCTGTGTGCGGCTGCCATTTACGGCCCCATCTTTTCTCATCACTGTGAAATCTGCCGGGGCAAAAATAATACCTACGGTAATGTGAAGAAGCCTAATGAAGAAGCAACTCGAATTAGCAGCACAAAATCCAGAATCTTGACATGGGTTAGCTTGGGTAGACCAATCACCTTCAGGGAGAGCTGTGAAGTCGTACAATCTGAAACGGTAAAGTATTTTTAAAAAGTAGGCAACAGAAAGCAAGATTATGAGGAAATCACTCCGATGTTCACTTTCTTTCTAGTTTATTGGTGTCACTAAATGCTTAAACGAGAATATCCTCACAGTATTTCCAAACTGATTGTGTAACCACTCAGAAGCTTGATGACGATCCCCCCAACACTCATGATAATGCAAGTGGCATATATCTGGTAGGTTACCCATTAAACGACTGTGACAGATCGTATTTCTGGTTAATTGTTAGTTCCTTATGACCTTAGATTTGCCTGTGTATTTAATAACACCATCTGCTGTCTCAGGTAGCAATACCACCTTTTTTACGTGAGGATTACTGTTCTTACTTCGTAAACAATGGTGCTCAATGGGAGGTGTTGAAACTCCACCATAGAATTATTTAAATTATGCTACCTCTGCAAAGCTTGAAGAGAGAACTGCTTTTCTTCCTTATGCTGGCTCTATTGGCTTCACCTAAAATATCATAATGGACATACCATAATAAAAGCATAAAAATGATTTCCAAGTTGTAGTCTTGGTCTGCAAGATGAAATGTTTTCAAAGAACTCGACTGTTATGTCTGTCCTATTTGGCTTCATCCAGACTCATTTCTCATAGTGTATAAATCTCTGGGAAATTTCCCAATAAAACAGACAATTAGGAACTAATTCCCACAAAGTGAAATGAGATGAGACTTTTTTTTTCTTTTTTTTTTAACCATCACTCAAGATTATACCTCTCCATTTGGGGGCATGTTGAGAAGGCTGCTCACGAACGAGAAATATCAAAACTTCTACTGATGTGTCTTCTATAACAAGGCAGATGGTGACAGGTTTTAAGTTGGGCTACCTTTGTTTGGGAGCCACAGACAGAAGCACCTGTGAAATGAATTCTTGGTGGCTGGGGAGACGGGGTGCGGGGGGAGCATTCACTTTTAATTTAACTAGGTTCACGCTGTACAGGGTACCGGACTGTAGTGTTGTTCTCCAACCCATGAATCACAACTTCCTAGAAAACAGGGGTTCTGCGGAGCGGTAGAACTGGTTTGCGCTGAACTGGTCTCTTCTGCACCAGGGGGCAGCTGTGCCTCTCTGAGTCAGGACAGACACCAGTCACCAGTTCCTTTGTCTACCTGTCCACTAACCCGTTCCCAGCCTTGACCCCAAAAGGAGCCCAGGTGAATGGGAATTGCTACTTGATTTTACTAGGGAAATGACAGCTCCTTAAAGGTGAAAACTTTTTTGCAACAGTAATTTTTCATTCCTTAACATGGTGACACTACTCAAAAAGTAGGAAGGAGCATTGGAAGATAAAGCGCTCTAGGTCATGCGTACCTGATTTGGAACTGACTTTTGTGGCGAACTGTGACAAAGCTCATAGGATTGACCGTTATAAGCCCAGCACTGACATGACCCATAACTTTATGCTAAAATATGGACACTTGACAGGGTAGAGGTTTGGGGGCTGTTTTTTTGGGGGGAGGGTAGTTAATTATGGGGAACCGGAGAGGTTGGCCTGAACACCCACCACATGAAAATAATCAAGAGGTCATCTGCCAACAGAAAACAACTTCGAAAGTATGGAATGTAGAATTCTGAGCCTAAACCACTTGACAGCATCCCAAAAAGGCATGTCCTGACATGTTTTCAGTATAAGAGGGCTTCAGCATTCCAGGCTTTTAAAAGAATGTCTCCTGTTACAGCTAAAAGGGGCTGCTTCTCCTTTTCCACACTCTGAATTCATGGAATCTGGAAGTCTGATTCTGGGACACTCACTTTCAAATATATTGAGTAATTTTTTAATATGAAAAGCAAGGAATATGGCTCTTTCTTGGTTTTAGAAAAATAGTTGAAACGCCCACACATAAGTGTTTCCCACCAACACCATTTTTGAAGTATACAGAGCTTCAGCAACGTCATGAGGGTTTTGTTATAATCAGAGCCAAATAAACGAAACACAAACAGAACGTTATGAATGTAATACTTCACTATAGGTAACAAATTTAAAATATAAGGATTCCTAGAACTTATCTCCCCCAACATCCTTTATAAATTCAGTATACAGCCAGCAGAAAAGCTGCCCAGCTATTAAGCAGAGGAATCCTGGGTGAGAATACCAAAAAAACCCTCAAAACAAGTTTCCACATCCTGCTGATCTATCCAGCCAAATGCCTGTCAGTGTATGGAACAGTTTTTCGTTTTACTCAACTGAGGTCCTCTTGAGTCTTCTGAAGGGGCTGTCAATAGATATTGAATCTTTGCCCATTTTATATGAAGTATATACATATATACATAATCTTTGCCCATATATATATATATATATATATATATATATATATATATATATAAAGATATATACATATATTTAAAATAAGGCTGTCTCTTGTGGAAATAAATATTTTCCATTAAGCCTTGAGACACTTCAATTGGGCATATTAATGCTGATACAGATGCTTTTGCCCTGGCTAACTTAAACTAAGCACAGACCGTGGCTTAGACACTCTTAGCTTGGGATCGGAGCCCAGACCAAGCAGACATAATGTTCTCAGATGATGGGATGATCTGGTAGCCACATGACCTCACAACTTTATTTCGATGGCACCAGGCCCCCCAAATAATGGGCAGACACTCATTGGTCACTCCTATGCATTGTTTTGTGATGCCACGTGTGTCAGAAGAATGTGGGGCTTGGGTTTGTCAAAGTCCCCTGTATGCCCATGAAATTGTGCACCGTGGGAAGGGTCTGGGTGGAAATGGCATTGAGTTCAGCGTCTCATCTCCCAGTAGAGAAAAACTCCAGCCCAGGGTGTCCAAGTGACCTGCCTCAGGTGATCTGCTGGGTGTGTGAACAGAACCTATGGTTCCTCACCCACTTCCTATGTGGGTATTTACATGTATGTAAAAAAAGAACCTGGGAAGAAAACAGAAATAGGAGGTAGCCCACCAGTGGGCTAAAGAAAGAACTGCAGTCCGGGAAACGTGGATTCTGGCTGTTGTTTACAGCAAAGTCTTCATTTCCCTGGTGCTCCAATAAATTGATAAAGTGAGCGGACATGACTTCTTAGTCATGGTGAAGAAGAACGAATTGATCTGTTAATGCAAATGTAGGTAGATCGATAGGTAGTGGAATAAAAGCAATCTGAAAAATGTTCAAAATCTAGATATCTCTGAAATGCTAAGAGATAGCCCCTAGGAAGTTCCCATGTGTGAAGTTCCCAGGCAAGTTTTCAGACCGGTTTCCTCACTAAGGAATTTGCTGGAAGGGCTGACAAGGCAGGCCAACAAGTCCATCAAAGTTCATCCGTACTTGCATTTTAGCTGTGACCAGATTTTTAGTAAACACACCATATTTAGGCAGTCGCAATAGGAAATCTTTCTCTATTTCTGTCCACTGGTGGTCTTTCAGCAGGGCACAAACTTGGGCTGTCTGTTCTCAAGACAAGTTCGGCTTTCTTCTTCTCTGTGTCAACTCAGTTCTGAGAGTGAATTTGGATTGTCTCGATGATTCTGCACTCCCCTTGGCAAAGAGGCATTGCCATGTGGGCACAGGAGCAGATGTGCTAATGCACACTTACTCCAATTAATAAATTACAGCCCATGATGAGTCGTTTAAATTTTTCTTCCTTTTTTCCTTCTGCAGGGAGCCTTCTGTGTCTCCTCTGTACATAAAACTGACCACACACAAAATGGAGAAATAATTTTACTGTTAAATATTTAGATCTTTGGGTATAATTAGAATATCACTTATACACATAAAATAATTGTTTTAAATGACAATATTACTTTTTTTCCCCCCTGTTCTATCCTTTGATGTGGAGAAGCTGTTGGGTGGGCCCTTAGTGCTTCTTTGGGAAGGACTGTTCCAGAAATAGGTATAATTTAGTGTGTTCCATGGAGGGGGTAAGTTCAGGGTCTTTCTACATTGCCATCTTGGACTAGAACTCCTTCTTCTTCTTTGTTTCTAAACACATTAGACGAGAGCAAGTAAGCCACCAGAACAGGTTATTGGTAAATATTTCGTAAGGAATACAAACAATGACAATGAAGGTCTATTTGGAATAAGTTGTGATCATTTTGCTTCCTACAAGCCCTTTATAACCATGAAATGCTATGGAATATCTGACTTCACTTTTTTTTTTTTCTTTTTTCTTTTCAGGGCCCCCTAGCCCCTTGTATTTATTTGTCTGAGTACAAAGTATCCAGGATTGGAATCCTATAATAGGAATTAAATGATTTCATGGGATTTTCCTTTTTGTTCTTAAGGAAACATGTCATAAGGATCTAGAGGTGCAGTATTCCAATTTGGTGACTGCCCAAACCATATCCTTACCCGACTAAATTCCAGAATGGAAGTCTTTTATCTTACCACCAACATTGATTTTAATCTAAGGTTCATAAAGACCAGCACAAAATAGCTTGCCATTTAAGGAGTCCCATACCGGGCACGGCATAGCGGCAACTGTCCCTCATCTCTACCATCTCCCTCTATCTGTTGTGACTGTTTGCTGTTCTTTGCTTGCATGTCCTGTGAACTATCTTAGAATTGCTTTTTTTCCCCTATGTATATAGATAGAGATTGGCGCATCTTAATATTCTCTTTGTTAACACTCACAAATGTTAACACTCCCTTGCTAGTTTTCTATACTGTGCTTGCGTTATTTCTTTTTAAATTCAAAATGCAGGTAGAATCTTCTAGACTATATCATTAGACAACAGGACTCATACCTGGATTTTAGTTCTGACACTCACCATTAATGCTACTGTAGGCAAATCACTCAATCTTTCAATACCTTGGGTTTCTGTTTCTGAAAAAGGATGACAAGATAAAATTTACGGTTGAAATATCTTTTTTGAATGTCCATATGAAAGGTATAATAAACATATAATAAACACAAGACAATCATATTATCCTTAACCTTTTAGAATTGTAACATCTTTCATTTTTTCAGTCCCCTTACTACTGAACGTGTATGCAGGAAAGTCACATTTTAAGTAGGTAAGCTAATGAAAGAAAATTCACCTTCTTAATATTTTCAAACATTATCCTTGAGGTTAGTTCACTATTGTGTCAGCATCTTCCTAGTGATATTTTTTAAAGGATTTTGGTGAGTGTCTTAAATATCCGTTAAACCCACATTCAGACATTTTTCCAGAAAAGTACATTTCATCATGCTCTTTCCAAAAAGTCAATAGCAGGGTTCTGGCAGCAAATGGCTGTTGAATCCCTTCCAGTTCTCCTACAAATTTCCTTGCAGACTGAGAGAGTGTGTGACCTCAATCTCTCCTTTGTCTGTATTTTTCACTTAGCGCTTTAAATTCTGACACAGTAAGTAGTTAGCCTACATCAAGACCCCAATTTTTACTCTAAACGGGGACCTATACATATGTTTACACATAGACTGGTGACTAACAGCTTCTGTGTATAATATGTGGGTGATTAAGAGCTCCTGTGATTTTATTTGGCCTGATTCTTAGACCCTCCACAGAGAGTTTATCTCCCCCACATGCAAAAATCTCTTTAATATCCGAATGCTTTCTGTGCACAGGGGAGGCAGGCTACAGGGAGAGGTCACACAGAGGGAAAGTATTTCTAAAAAAGTGTATTTGCAATTTGAAAACCAGTAGAACTGTCTCATAAAATGCTATTACTTAGAAGAAAGGCTCTTCTATCTATGACAGAAGGTTCATTTGTGTCACGACTCTCCATAGCGTGTACAGACGTATTCATATAAACAGGTCTGTTCAAGTACTTATTTATAACTTTTTTTTTTTTTTTTTTTTTTTAAGTAGAAAAGCCCTGAGTAGCACATGCACTCTTCAATCTTATGGCAGTTTTGCCCAAGTACAAGGAGCTGAGGATGTTATCCACAGAATCCCAAATGACACACAGGCTGCCTTTTTTCCCTCCTCCTCCAAATATGCCGGGGTCAGAGTTTAAGAAGCTCTAGTATGGTTGCAACATCACGCTATTAATAGAAACTGCGCTCTGAAGAATGAAGGCTGTGATTCCACATGTGAATATAGGGTGAAGTGCATGAACTCACAAGCCTCCAGGAATACCACCTCGTGGACAGCACACACGTTGTAACCCTCCCCCAGCTGCACGTCCTTAGGGCAGAGTTCCCTCAGGGTCTTCTGGAAAGAACCTTTTTTTTTTTTTCTTTACACTGCCCTGTGGACTGTCAGTACAGCGCTGTGGTATGTTAACAAGAGCATCTCCACTGGAGTAAGCTCTGGGGACGGTTCGGATTTTAGATGTTTAATGCTCACACATGGAAGCCCATGTAAAAAAAGCCCATGTAAATTGGGGAGGGCAGATTCCTTCCACCCATAGAGCTATTGCTTAGAACTGCTCCCTTTGGCTAAACATCTGATCACTTCCCTTATTCCTGCTTTTTGATGGTATCATAATAAACAGCTTTCCTTTTGCTCTTAAACTGTGGATGATTTTTATTTTTCAAAAAATCTTAGAAATTAGAGCTGGAAAGGACTGTTGCTTCATCTAATCTCGGCAGAGGTGTTCCCCGTAGAATGTTTTCTTTAGTTCTTAAGACAAATTCCAGCATTTCAGCAATCTGGTTAAAACCAGCCTCAACCCACTGCCCCACCAAGCCTTCCTGCGGCTTCCACCTGCCTGTCCACGTATGAATGTGCAGGAGCTCCCTGCAGCCAACCTGGTAACCTTGACTCTGAGTGGCAAAGAAGATCATAATGCTCTTCTGAAAGGACCAGCAGCCTTAAGCAAGAGGGCAGAGTCTACGTGACTAAAACATACCAACTTCCTCTTTCATAAGTCATCACATGATGAACTACAATTACAATTCCTGCCTTGTCTCTCCGAATTGCAGACGCATTGCCTCACCCTAGAAGCCCTGCTTCTGTGTGTGGAGGAGGTGGCTCTTGCTGCTGCAGCAGCCGCTTTGGAAGGGATCCAACTCCAGTCTGTGCCGGGAGGGAGGGCGGAGGGTGGAAGACGAAAACAAAGCTATGTTTACTTAGCATAGATCGATAAAGCTGCTTCGAAGCTACATGAAAGGCCAGGCATCATGAAAGACTTTTGATACAATATAAGGAATTGCTGTCCCGGATCCAGGGCCAGCCTTAACCCCCTTGATCCCGGAGCCTTTTATGGCAAGGGAGACCAGAACTAAAATAGCCTCCCCATTCTCCAGCAGGCATTTCATTAGGGAAGTTACAACAACTCGGTTTCGACATTAAACTCCTAGTGTAAAATAAAAAGGAAATGCCCTTCATTTGGAGAAGAAAAGCTCCATTCTACAAGAATCCTTACTTAGTCCCTCTCAAGGCAGAATTTGTATCTCGGTGTTTCTATTTTGGGATAGAACAGCAAGCTTTCCCTTGAGGGTATTACAGTACCAGCTTGCAGGTAAATGAGTATAATGACACCAGGGCTCTAACAGAGGGTGGGTTTTTTGTTTTCTAATCTTCCAGTCACTGCCTGGGGGCGGGGGGGCAGGTCTTGGGTGTGTCCAGATGGCTAGTTCGTCTGCGGCACAAAGCCTGGACCTCGTCCACTTCGGGCAGTGGCTCGGAGAGAGAAGTCACGTGCTATAATGAGTGGCACAGGGTCTCTCTGGAGAGCGACTGGAGGGACAGGTCCTGAAAGAGGCTCCAGACGGCAGGTACCGGGAGTGACCAAACCCACTGGCACCAGTTGCTCCAGGGAAGGAACTGGGCATGTCCAGTGCCCCCTGCTAGAGGAGGGTGAGGCAGGACTGCCATTGCAAGCAAGACCCGGGACCAGATGGGGAGACCTCCACGGCAAGCACACCTTCTCTGGAAATCCCCAGAAGACATGCAGGGTTGGCCTGTAAAAACATCTGGGCCTGGCACTACGTTTTCTGCGCCACTTTCGAACAGGTTTCTTCATGCTGCTGAGGCAGCTCCCTCCACTATTTCGCTAAGGGTGTTTTTCCTCTTCCTTGTGGTTAGTCCTTTGAAGCAACCTGGCATTTTCAACAGCAACAACTACAGAGAAACGTCAGCAGGATTTTTTTCTCTCTCCACCTACCAACCCAGTGGTAGGCAAGATAATGTAATGAGTACCCTGCTCTTCCCACACGGGGCCAGCCCGTTCCCGTCTCGGCGGGCGCTGCGGGCCTGTTTTCCAACAAAAGCAGCTCCTAAGGGCCGCCCGTGCAGAGCCGAGGTGTCTGGGTCACCACCGAGAGTGACTAAGCCGCGTCTGTTAGTAAGACTAAGACCGGCCAGAAGCGATTCACCATGGCACACAGCAGCTCCTCCTCCCGATAAAAGTGGGACACTCGAGCGCTCACTTCAGTCCCGGCACGGCCCGCGGCCGCCAGCACCCGCACAGCGCGGCGGGCCCAGCGGGCTCTGCGGCCGCGCCCCGCCTTCGCGCCAGGCGGGTCCGCGCCCACCGGGGGCTCCCCGGGCCCGGGCCACGCCGTCGGTCCCGCCCCACGACGGCGCCGGGGACTTCCGCCGATGGCCCGGGCCGCGCGACTCCACCAGCCTGCCAGCCGGCCACCCCACGGCCCCGCGCGGACCCGGGCGCCCTCGCCCCCTCCGGCCCAAGTTTGGTCCCGAGGGCGGGGCCCGGAGGCCTCCTGTCGCCGGAGGGGGCGGAGCCTGCGCGGTGACGCGACCGCGCCGGCCGTAGATCCCGGATCCCTGGAATGTGCATTCGTTCAATGAGGCCGCCAGTGCCAGGGGCGCCGAGTCACGTCCGCGCGGAGCGTGCGCACTCGGCGGCGGCGGCGGCGGCGGCGGCGCACGCGGGCCCGCGGCTCTGCTCCCACGTCACGCGCCCGCCGCACAGTCCGACAGGAGGCGGTGGGGTCTGCTGGCGCGGCGAGTACCACCCCCCCGCCGCCCCCGGCTCGGCAGGGCGGGCCGCTGCGGAGGAGGAGGGGAGGGCGGGGCTGAGGCTAGCGAGGGTCCCCAGGCCTCGGCCGAGCGGCGTGCGGACGCGGCCCCGGGCTCGGGCGCAGACTCTGCCGTTCGTGAAACTTAGGGCACCGCGGGGCGCGCGTGCGTCCCGACGGGTGCGAGTGTGCAAGCGCCCAGTGTGAGTCCACACGTAACTCCTCAGAACCAGAACTGAGCCACGCCACACTGACAGTCCCCGCTCTCGAGACTGACAGCACCAGTCACCGAGGGGTTTTGAAAACACGAGCACTAGCGCGATTTGGCCCAAACGTCCTGGAGGGGAGGAATGGGGACCGAGTAGTGGAGGCAGCCGAGCGTTGGGACGGCCGCGCCGCCTTCCCCTCGGGGACACCGGCCGCGGCGCTCTCGGGCGGCGCTGACCCGCGGGCGGGCGCCTCGGAGCCGGCTATCCCGGCAGCGCTCGTTCTCTCCCCGCGCGGGGGGAGGGGGAGGGCGCGGGCGCGGGGGAGGGCGGGCGCGCGCGCGAGGGGAGGGGGCCCGCGCAGGCGCCGTGCGAGGCTGTCGAAGAATCAAGTCTGTAGAAGTGGAGCGGCCGCGGCGGCAGCAGCAGCAGCGACGGCGGCGGCGGAGCAGAGGCGGGCTGGGCGCTGACGCGGGCGCTGGAGAGTGGCGACGCCGGGAGCTGTGAGAGAACAGCGGAGCGACCCGTGGCTCGCGCCGCGCCCGTGCTCCACGCCGTCCGGCAGCTGCCGCCGCCTCGGCGCGGCATGCCCCGCCGCTCGGGCTGAGCCTGCCCCGGCGGCCGCCCCCCGCCCCCCGCCCCCCCGGCCTCCCCGCCCCCCGCCCCGCACTCCGCGCCGGCAGCCGCCGCGACCTGCTGCGCTCCCCCGCGCCCGCGCGGCCCGTCTTCGCCCCGGTCTGGAGGCC